TAAGGAGATTAGTGAACAGCCGATGGAGAAGAAGATCTGGCAAACAGTTGTACTGATTTCCGATTGCCTCTCCCAAGATTAAGTACAGGTATTTTAAAGTAAGATCACATACACACACAAAAAATAATATATATATATATATATATATATATATATATATATATATATATATATATATATATAAACAACTCATCATAGAAAAAATAATACTAAAACAGTCTATAAGTATTCTACAGAGAACTATTCTTGAGGAATCAACTACACGGTGGGAACTACAAGGGGCATAACTATAAGAAACTTAAAACTTTACAACATTATCACCACCAACGATACAACAAAATAGAATAAAATCTTCAACTATTTTTGTCTGTTAATTTGCTTGCTCGCTCTATTAATAATAATTCAAATAACACAGACATTGGTTATACAACCATTACATTTTCGCAGCGATTAACCTCCTATTTAACACATAGTAGTCCAATTAAATCAACACCCAACATTTAAACAAAGATATGCAATAAACGTTTACTATATAAATGAATACTTAAATTACTCAAAAATAAAAATAAACAGTAAAAGAAACGATTACAAATACTTACTGAAAGTACTTAGACATTAGACCATGTATATTTAAATATGTACGGCAAACGGGAAAATTGGCTGATATATAAAAAATAAATAAGAACAATCGTCACAAAGAACGTTTGTTGATCCTTAACTACAACTGTATAAACACAAACACACACACACACACATACACACACGCACACACACACACACACATGACGCCTTCGGTGAAGGGGGGTGTATTCAACACAAAAAAACAAAAATTGCTTTTTTCATTATAGTATATCCAATTATTTTACAATATATTAGAGCCGATTACACAATATTTCAAACTCAGTTTAGGTTTTTGTTCGTAATCAGGCATTGAGATGAGGTAATATAAGCGTAGATTTGTCTGCGAAATTTCATTGCATTATTGTTATATCATTATAAAGAAAATATTAAAGTTTTTTTTTTCTCATTACTCATTATTATTACATAATTATAAAGAAATCATTAAAGTTTTTGTCAAAAGTATTTTACTTTTGATCGTATATTAAATTAAATTATTCCTTTTTACAGGCTTTATTTTTTTAAATAGAATAAGATCGTTCTAAATCTCAGAATTTCGTTATTGCCCACAAAATGAATGGCAAAAAGCGATCTAAAAACAACAACGGAAAAAAAGAGACGACAAAGTGTAAACGAAATAGCTCCAATTTGTTCAATTCAAAAAAATTAGCATTGCAGCCAAAGTATTCTAATAACAAAGGAGAAAATGAACAATACCTAACAACAAATTGAATATAGCATCAAAATTTTTATTATCTTTATTTATTTGTTATGTAACTAAATACATAACTGTCAACAATGTTTACGTAAAACTTGATTTCCTGTAATAAGTTCTTAATAAATATTATTATTGTTACTTATGTGTAAGGTAGTCCTACATTTACAATTGCTTTACAGCTAACCAGGAAAAGAAATATTGATCAAAAGTGCCTAAAACCTTTAAGCGTGTTTTGTGGCAAAATTATAAAATCTTGAATACGCCCCTCCTGTACAAGAACGCATTATAAATGTATGACAAAAATGTGTGTATAGAATCAGCAGATGTTTTCTTAAGGTATTATTAATGGTGTTTGGTGTTTCTTTTCATATTATTTTAATCTTATGTATTTTAAGTGCATAAAACCTTATCCTCACGAGGTGAACAGAATTTGCCGGAACGAATGGAAGCCATTAAAGTTGATGTTTTTGCTTAATTATCAAGTAGCTACATCTGATAGAGTTTCATTTAGCTCTGTGTTTTCTTTACACCTTTATAGCCACGTGTTAAATTCCCGTCCAATAGAAGGAATACTTGCCGTTGAACAGCTATTGCAAATGACGCCAATTAATTTTTTCATTTCTATATATTTTTCCATCTCTAGTTAGAATTCACGCCATTAGATATTAAGTAGTCATTTGCAATTTAACTTATTCACATGTCGATATGTTCACATCGAATAGAACAGGATTAACTCTACAGAAGTTTCAAGTGGATACATGGTAGCAAATTATGAAAAGACTAGAAATATAACTGTTTCTTTTCCCTTTAAATTCTGAATAAATTTCAATCATAATTTCCATTCACCATTCAGAATATTATCTCTTTTTTTGCGTGACTGTCATGTGGCACCACTTCGTCGACCGCATGAATTTAAACGTACGACTAGATTGGCAACTAGATATTACCATTTTACTATTGAAATAACAAGATGCATCTGCAAGTTCTATTCTAATATATTCTTCAGCCTTCAGAAATGTTAATGAATCTTCAGTTGCCATCTTGTGTCTTCGGGAACCCTCGGCTTTTATTGATCTTTGTCCTCACTGGTGTCTTATTTTCTCTCACTCTCAATAACCTCTTCCGTCTTAGTGACACTATCGCATTACTTGGGGTGGAACGAATCACGACATTCGTCACATGCACACGCATGCACACGCGTACAAGAACACACACAAACACGGACCCCTACCCCCCACACACATACATGCACACACAAAGAAAAAAATCAACCTAACTGTAATAATTATCGCATAAATTAATTTTCAACTTAGTATAAAAATAACGAAAATGAGAAAATCCCTTGTTAATTGCTGAAGCCTTTTGATGAGTGGACCGGACAATTACAAAAGGTTCGTCTAAGAAACTTCAGTATATATATATAAATATATATATATATATATATATATATATATATATATATATATATCATCCACAGACAGACTATATATATATATATATATATATATAGTCTGTGTGGATGACAATCATAGACAGACTGTTTCGCTGCTCATCAGTGTGGCTAGACATCCGATTGCCTCAAGCCAGGATTGAAACCAGAATGACTTGGCATCAGTCGGAGATATTTCCCCTAAGCTACCAGCACCCGGCAGAGAGAAAATTGAATTTTTACATATTTATTTTTGAATAAATACGCCAGTGGCTCAGAGTGTTCGATTCATAGAAGAGCTTTGCATTATCAGCAGTAGCAGTCACTGTTTACAAATTCGCGCTTACCCTATAAAGAGCTCGACACAATTTTTATTTTTTTCGGGGGCGTATATATATATATATATATATATATATATATATATATATATAGAGAGAGAGAGAGAGAGAGAGAGAGATAGATAGATAGATAGATAACTAGACTCGTTTAAAAAAAAACCCTCGAATTTTTGATTTGCTAATAATCAAATCAATCTTGAGGGAAAAAATGGTTTTAAAAAAAGAAAGAGCTACAAACATGAACTTCTGCTGACAAAAAAAATCGCACAGGTGCAGGTCTGAAGCCCAAAGAAAAAACCCCGATACGAGTAAACAACTAACTAACAAAATATCTCAATACAACCGTAGAGCAGACCTAGATATACCTAGTGAGCCAGACAAACCTACCTAGGTTTCACCTAAACGGATCGTCAGGAAAGTAAGGCCTTATATATATATATATATATATATATATATATATATATATATATATATTATTACTATTATCATTATTGATATTATTATTAAGGCCAAGCTGTGAGTTACCATGAATTGTTGGAAAGATAATGGATTGGTTTCCCGTTTTCTTCGTTACAATTTGGTTATCGCCAATAACCGTCTCGCTACACTCACATCCCATCTCACATCTTACAGATATATAAATGAATATATTCTCTTTGCTACAGGTATTATTCAATGTAAAAAACAAAGAATGACGGTTACTTTTTTTTCTTGGTTTAAGTTGAATGAATAATTGAAATGAAAGACAGAACGAGTCCTAGAACTTTCGAACGTTCCATCGGCCATCATAAATGAACAAGCACAGAAAGTTGAGTTTAAGATTATTATGAAAAGTTGATCGAAAAGTGTAGCCGTTATTCCTTGCCTGTTACTTTCAACAACACCCACACGAAGGAAAATTTACGGCCTAAATATACAGTATATACTCGCGACTTCATATTTAGTGTGATGCATGAATTTTCACCCCCTCTTAAAAAAATTACCTGTGTATAATGCTACCGGTCCCCGAAGATGCATGATTTTAATCTCTCGAAATTACCTATGTATACTGTGATCCCTATTTATGCGTTAAAAAACTGATAAAAATATCGTACGATACTCGAGTATATACGATATGTTATTCAATTCCGTTTATATAGATAGATAGATACATACATACATACATACATACATACATACATACTGATATGATAAAACATTTCTCTTTCTCTGTCTCTATCTGACCATCTGTCTATCTCTTTCTCTCTCACTCTCTCTCTCTCTCTCTCTCTCTCTCTCTCTCTATGTGTGCTTGTGTGTGTGTGTGTGCTTGTGTGTGTGTGTGTGTGTGTGTGTTCCATGTTCCTTTTAATTTTTCATACTGAAATTTACTATGCCTTTATATAATAAAAATTAGTGGATTTATTACATGACTGCCCGAACAGACTGACCTTTTGAAAGCGTTGTAAACATAGCGTACAGGTTTAACAATAAAATCGGTTGAGATTAATATACTAATATGATTATCTTCAGAAACAAATAAAACTTGTATACACGCACACACACACGCACACGCACACACAACCACACACATGCATATTTCTTTGAAAATAAACTCTTACATACAGGCGAACATACATAGGGCATATGCGAATATTTACGTCACCATCTCCCTATAAAATTCTGTTTCATTGATCGAGAAGCTTAACAAAATTAATGATGTTTATCCCGACCCTATTGCAAAGTTTCCACAGCAAAGATGGCCGACCACATCACTTCAACACGCCCCAACAACGACCCCCTCAAATCACCCATCCGACGCCCTCCCCTCATCATCAAACTCTCTCCCACACCCAACGACTAACCCTCACCACCACCGACATCCCTAAGTCATGACCACAAATTCTCCATCCTCTTGATGCCGCCTTGGCCAGCTCCATACCGTTTCCATAGTTGGCCGCTGTCCAAGATGGTCTCTGTTGTTGCCAGTGGCGGCGCACCGCAGAGTAAACATACCATTGCAGTGGTTAATCAACTGGTTCTTGGGAATGACTGCAACATTATCTCGTGAGCACGCGAAGCTAACAAACTCTTCGCAGCATGTGGGCTGACGCGAGGTCTCGGGTCCATCTATCTGTACCGGCACTCACTCCTTACTCTTCCTTCTTTTGACTCGACACATTTAGTATTTTTATCCCTTCCATGCATCTCCCGTTTTCATATCAACATATTATTTTCCTTCTTTTCGCTTCGAATTTTTCTCCTTCTTTTTTTTAGCCTCTTCATACCACTTTATCTGCTTAGTTAAAGAGCCGCTTAATAGCTGGAATAGTTGCGACTTTACCGATATTCAAGACCAACGAAAATCTATAAAGTTCTACCCACATTTTAATGCTAGTAAGAAACAGAAAATTGGCACGATTTAATCGGCCGAAATTTCTGAAACGTTAAAACATTTGCGTCCTTCTTTGAGGTAATCCAAAAATGTTCTTTTTTGCTTCCCTTAGACGATATTAATTTAGACCAACTTCATTTAATAAAATCACTGTTCATTGCCTCGTGACAGCTGTTACACCGGCATATGCTTCGTTGTCATGTGAAAAAATCATGTATTTTGCTTATTTCTCAAATATTTTAAATAAAATAATCAAGATCTGAAGTTTGGAATGATTTTTATTTGAAAAAATTTAAAAGAAAGTGATTCAAGCATATTTGTTTTTTTTTTTTTGTTTTGAGAATGTATTCTGAATAATCAAACGTGTCAAAATGGTTTGCTAAATTCGTTCTGGAGATCTCACGGTCGAATAGACCGGAAGTTAACAATAATCAACTCAAGAGATTGATAATTCTCAACATTGTAGGATGTGGAAGATAACAATCTTGTCTCAACATAAGTGACCTGTTAAAATAGAAGAAAAGCAACATACACATATTTTGTAGTTTTTTTGGTTTTCTTTTTTTTTTGGCTTTTTGTTCAATTTACAAATATTTCAGCATTCCTCTCGAATTCACACACTCGGGTTAGAAAAGAACATATTTTGAACATAAAAGTGTGCCCTGTACAGCGATTGTCCATTGGAATATTGAGTTACCCGAAGAAGAAAGTATCAACAGAAAAACTCGAGGTACTGCCTGTCTCTTCTCTTAAAAAGCCGAGAATAGAAGTGGTACTTTGTAGGCAAAATCTTCCAGTGTTCCCCCAGTAGAGTGGTGGACGGTAGATTGGGGGGGATTTAGATTGGTGGCGAATCAGGAATGATACACCAGCGTGTTTCGATGTCTCCCCACACGCGCAAAAAGTACTATCTGGCAGTTGTTGTTTTTAATACAGAAATGATTAAACTTAAATATATTTAATGATGAAGGAAACGAAAGCAAGTGGTTCGTCATTTTTAAAACTTTTCTAAATACACAATTTTAAAATGGCTCTTTTATCCCCATTATTAAGAGATGCTGCACTTTTCCACTAATATATATACTCTCTCGCTCGTTCTCTCTCCATATATTTCCCCCTTTGTCTCTTTTATATATATATATATATATATATATATATATATATATATATATATAGGGGAGGAGGTTATAGTAGTTCCAACGAGAGAAAAGTGTGTATAATAAAATATTATGTGTATCTTTTTGTAGAGAGAATGTCTTATATCGAGAATATTTAACAGCGAAAACCATAAGAAAAAATTAATTCCTTTTAATAATATATGAAAATATCCACTCTTTGCCTGATGAAGGTCATGAGACAGGAAACTCGTGTAGCAAAATTATGAAAAATAAAGCATAATGTATTTTTTTAAAATACACATTGCAACCAAAAACGTTTGCAGTTTCTATCTTCTTTACACATATATATATATATATATATATATATATATATATATTTACTTTCCAGTCAACTTACATCTTCAAAATTGTAAATCCAATGTCAACCGTGATGTCTGTCTTCAAATTACGTTTCTTTTACTATTCTCTCCATGATAATGTTTTCTTTTTTCATATTCTTTCCCATTGAATAACCCTTTACGTCTTTGTGTCTTTATTGTCTTCCTTTTGGTGGGGGTGACATGATTTTAAATAATCAAAATTTATATATGAATGCAAATAAATTTAGATTTATTTTGTGGCTACCAGCTTTGTTTAATGTTTTAAATTCCCAGTTTACATTTGTTGCTCCAGGATCACTAACAAGCGCGAACGAACACACTCACACACACACACACACTCACACACACACACTCCTCATCTTACTCATGAACACTCACCGAATCATTTATTGGGATTTGTATCAGTTATATTATCTTCCCCACTCTTGTTTTTCCACGCATGGCGTTGTCTGGGTAAAACTTGGAAGAAAGGCGTCCACATAGTGACAATTTTCTATAAACTTTCGATACTAATTATACAGTATAACACAATTTTTGTCCATGGGTAGCATCTGTTATTTCTTATTTGCTTACGCCTAGAAAGTATGAAAGATGGCTAATATTTCATTCAAACTTTGCCTTTGCTACGAAGATAATGATATTTCTGAAATTGACCTATTCCCACTGGGAAAACTCGTGAATGTGAACATTTTCGTTCACATAAAATAGGAAGAAAACGACATATTATTCGAAAGTAGCATTCATTTATTCTAGGATTACACAAGTGAGACTACAAATTTTAGAAGTGAGTAGTTTTTCGCCATTTACGCCTATACTGTAAATTACTTTCACGAATCGACCCTCAAATATAGTCTCCCATCATGTTTTGTTATACGATCCTTGATAGCCTGAACGTTCTAGAAATTCATAAAACTTTTAACAACTTTTCGAAAGTTTTTGAAACTTCTAGAATAATCTTCTTCAGCAACTCAGCGTGAATCTGTCTAAAAAGTAACGAAAAATGGGCTACTTTCAAAAATTCCATGTGTAGATCCCAAAAGCAAAGTTTGGAGAGAATAATGGTCATTTTCTTTGCTTTATAAACAGAAGCAATTAGAAAATAATACTTAATGAACAAAGACGAAACAAGTAAAACATTTGTTACATGGTGTATTATGTATGTAGCTAAATATATGTATACAATTAAATACAGTTTATTTCTGTCAACTAATGTGATAATTCTTTGGAAATCTTCAGGTCAACTGTAAAAATTTCGTGTCAGCTATTTTCAATACGTGGATGTTTTAAAAATGTCTTTAAAATCGCATCCATAATTGGAAGGATAACTCAGTCGTACACTAAAACCCCTTTTCTTACAGACAACACATCGCAAGCCTCTCGTTACTCTATCACTATTTGCCTGAAAAAATGATTTGGTTAGCTACATTCCTTAGTTTCAACAGTCTATATTACATTCTTCATGTCTTGTACAAAGGGATGACCGATTCTAACTCCGTGAATATTCCATTGGAACTGGATTCGGACAGCTTCTTCCCCAAAACCGCTACTTTATAGAACTGACTCTCGGGAGCCTGCTTTCCTAATCACTACAATCTGAATCTCTTCAAATCTAGGGTCAACTGTTATGTATCCTATCTTCGTAATCTACACTTCTTACCTCCTCCTGTTAAGCCCATATAAAAACATTGTTTAGCAATCCTCCGCCTTGAGTGTCTCTTAGGTCTTGAAACAAAGGTAAAAAAAATATGGTGCTTATACATATACACACAGAATCTGCTTCCCACCCATCTTTACTGAATGATAAGTTGTTAGTAAAGAAACGATCAATTTGATTTATTTATATACAACCGTATGCAAATTAATTGAAACAACCGCGTTAGATTCCTTTCATTCATCATGCGGTCAATTTTACACCCACTAGAATGACAGGATGTAATCGATTTCTTTTTTCTTTTTCTTTTTTTCTCAGATTAGGGTATTTGTAGTGGTGTGCAGTAATATGAATCTATTTTCGGGATGTATGATAAAATTTGTTTGGCCTTAAAAAATATTGCGTCTTCCGTGATTGCATCAGATTTGTATCCCACCTAGACACTATTTTCTCGACTGTCGATTAGTTGTCCTACAGCCATTGTCTGCGATGGACGTTACTTGAAGGAAGCGTACGAAAACTGTAACGCTGTACGAAAACACTGGCAAGCCTTACCAATGAGTAAATCAAAGTACTATAGACTGGCCCTGAACCTCTCCTGATTTAAATCGAGAATCTATGATCAATCTGCAAGGAACGATTTCGTGGAATGGACATACGAACTACTAACATGTTCAGTGTCATGTTTCATTGGAAAAATACCAAAAAATAGTAAATAATAACATAATTATTCGTTTTGTTTCAATTAATTTGCAAAAGGCTATATAAATAGGTAAAATATTTCATGGTGTCATCTTAAGTACTGTATTTTTTTTAATAAAATAATTTAAGTGAATCTCCTGTATGGCAGTGAATACTGGAAAATCTCTTCAAAGATGAAGAAGAGATGTGAAGTAACAGAAATGTTGTTCTGGAGAAGGATACTGAGAATTCTATGAATTGCACATCTGAAAAACAACAACATTTCGAAGAAAAATGAAACAGAAAGGAGAATTATAATTAATATCAGGAAGAGGCAATTGAAATATCTCGGGCACATAATAAGGAATGTAAACTTGAGATTTTTCATACTCACAGGACAAATTGAAACCCAGAGGGATAAAAGAAAACAATGCCTGACATATCAGAAGCGCTAGAGTAAATAGATATTGGAGAAAAATTTAAGAGAGATAACAAAAAGACAAAATATATTAAGTTCTACAAAAAAAAAGAAAAAATTGGAGAGCTATGATCGCCAACATACTGAAGAGACACGGCATATACAAGAAGAAGAAGAAGAAGAAGAAGAAGAAGAAGACGAGGAAGAAGAAAGGGGAGTATCGAAGAAGATCATTTCAACACATACGACAAGGGTAACAATCCTTTTCAGGCAAATCTTTGGGAAAAGAATAATATCTTATGTTTGCTTCATAAACTTGCCTCCACTTTCACCGGATCTGATAAGTCCTGAGTTATTCCTATGTAGCTATTCCAAACAAAAGGTTTATGTTAACAACTGAAGGACAGAATCAAAGCACTAGAGCCTGAAACACTGAGGGCTATAATGGAAAAGAGTACGTTCGTTCGAAACTGAAAATGATTGTCTAGCATTCACAGTCGTATAAGAGAACTGATGTTACATAACATTTCAGTACTCTTTCCTTTGTTTCTAAATCTTTTTTTTCTGTTTCTTAATACTCCCTTAGTCGCTCAAATTTTCCTTAATTTCTAACGGAACGTGATATGTTACTTCGTGGAAGGTTGCATACTGAACGTTTACTCTCAAAGATTCTCTCACAGCTAATGGCGACGATATTCATTTTGAATTATTTATCTTTGGTTTTGCTAGAAATATTCCACTACTTGTATTCGTTTTTCAATCATGTAGTTTTACATAATTACTTTCCAAAGACTTCTTTATAAAGTACCTGAAAAAATTAAAATATTTAAGAAACAAAAAAAAAATATATTACACTTTCAATCCCATTGGTGACTTTTAGGACACCGTATATATTTTCAATTCTATTGAAACTCATGCATCGTTGTTTATGTCTAGTAGTATTTCCGTTTCATCCGACGGTATCTGCAGGTCATAGTTCATGAAAGTTTTTCACTATAGTAGTAAATGACCAGACGCATAAAAACTGCGTTAACATGGAAAGTTAATCACAAAAGCTGTTTTGTCTCATGCGACCAAGAGTCACCACTGGAACAATTAATAATTTTAGAATACATGTTGAGTATTATATAATTTCCCTTTCTGTTTACACACAGACATTCTCTCTCTCTCTCTCTCTCTCTCTCTCTCTGTCTCTCTCTCCCTCTCCTACTCTGTTTCTCTGTCCTTCTCTCTTTCTCTTCCTTTTATCTTCACACTTTGTTTATCTTTTTTTTTAATCTATTTAGAGCTCTTTGTTGTTTTAATTACTATTTTCTTGGCGATCTCATGCGTCTACTCAACAACAATACACCATAATCTAGTCTCTCGTACTGCTCACCACGCGGGTGAGTTTCTTTCTATCCTGACGTTCTCAAAACCGTTTCTATGCTTCTCAAATATATTTTTCCTTGTTTCAGACTTCTTTTTCATACAACCATTCATTTACTCTCTTTTTTTCTTTCTTTTTTTTCAATTTTTCTTTCTTCATTACTTCCCTTTGTTTTACTTATTGCATTACGTTGCAACTTCTTTCTGTTTGTCTATCTTTCTTTTACATGTATTATTCTTTTAAGTCGCTAAACCTTTCTTTTTATTTACAGATTACTTCATTCTTACTTTATTTCTCCCTTCCATTCGTAGATTTTAAATGCCTTCGTATTTTTCTTCTTTCCTAGACTCCTCAGTTTATTCACACAATTACCTTATTCCCTTTACTTGATTTTTCCCTCCATTTTATCGTCTGTCCGTGATTTCTACACTACGTGCTTATTTTCTTTCTCTCTTTCCATTTCTTTCTGCAAAACTTCCATTAATGTTCATACCATCCTGTCCAAACATTTAGACAATACGATATTTCGACAATTGTCTCCCTCTGAAGAATAACCATTTGGCCGGACGACCTCTGCCGCACCCTTTTTTCCCAACAGCCCACTGCATCATTCGCCCTGTCCCTACTTTGCGCCAATCAGTAGGTTCTATTACCATAGAATGCTGGGATACATTTGGCTTAATTTGCAGCAAGTTGGCTGCAGCGACTGCTTAGCATCAAACAATCGAATGATGAATTAACAGCAACTTTTATTTAACATCATCGACCCAAACCCGTACCTTTTACGTCATATATTTACATATATACTAACATATGGACACATTTGTAAACGCACACAGATATATATATGTATACATATATATATATATATATATATATATATATATATATATATATATATATACATATATATTATGCAAACATTTACATCAACATACATATAATTATACATAATACGCTGATAAACACAAATGAATAATATATGCGTGCATATATTTATGAGTATATGTGTGTTCGTCTCTGTGCGTGTGTAGTCATATAAATAAATATATCTGTATTCATCTTTAAAATAATTCTAATATATATATATATGTGTGTGTGTGTAAAAAATATACATATATATATATATATATATATATATATATATGTATATATATATATATGTATATTATATATATATATATATATATATATATATATATATATATATATATATATATATATATATATATATATATATATGTATGTATGTATGTATGTAAACCGAAATTATTGAATAAAAATGAATTAATGGTCACATGTAGATACATCTTTTGAAAAATCTTGAACAAGATTGATTTCGGTAATTACCACTTCCCCTCATGTATATATTATAGGTGTTTATATATTTTTATATATATATATATATATATATATATATATATATATATATATATATATATATATATGTGTGTGTGTGTGTGTGTGTGTGTTTTTAGGTAACATATATTCCTTCAAACATGTTTCATAAAATAATACAGACATGTTATACCTATTTATTTTATAATAATCATTTGCATTTCTCAATTCAGCATGTTGATATTAAGTTGAAGGTAGGCTTTGTAGTTTTTTCATATCCAAGTATTTACTTTCCATCTGCTCCAAGATCATCCTTAGATGTGTATTGCAAAGACAAACTTATTATAACTGAGATTGCTGTGATATTGATTATTGAAAACACGCGGGAACATACCCTTTTATAATTATTTCCAATTTTAAATTCATCAGTTGTAGCTATGAGGTTTTGTTTTTTTTTATCAAAACCAGCGTCCCAATGTAAGAGAGGTAACCAGAAATGTTAAAAATGCAAAATAGTATTAAATATTGGTTAAATGTATTTCAAAACTTTGTTGCTACACTCATAATAAATTTTATTCAATGTTGATTGATTACATTATTCGGACTATTGTCCTCATCTTTGTCGCCATATTTATCACAACGTTTCGTTCCTTGTACGCTCCGGCCTTCTTCAGGTGGTTGGAATATCGAACTGAACCCTTTATTTCGCTCACTTTATTTCTAGTTCCACGTGCCATGTTTGATGGATGCCTGTTAATTTCCCTCTGAAAGTTCTCTACTGCCTTAACCGGGTATTGATCTCACACTCTTTGGATCCTGTAACTGGATCTAACCAACGCCTTTATCCACTACGCCATATGTCCTTGAGGATTGATTGATTACTTTTCATAAAGAGGGCCTCGAAAATTTAAAATTTCTATTTATTATTTTCAAAGTGTAGCATATCGGTGTTGTCAACAAGTATTCCCAGGATTGTGAAGGTGGACAGAAACGTGTCTTTAAAAATCGTGCAATAGAACTTGTATCGGATAAAGGAAGTGTAAGATGGCTTGATAATTTTGAGATCGAAAACCTACGGCGCCTTCCTTGATGAATTTAAAATTAACATCAAGAATCTGATTAGACAATGTCTATATTATTTAACGAAATATGCCTGAAATATATATATATATATATATATATATATATATATATATATATATATATATATATTTCATGTAATTATAAATTGAACTGCACCTATAATCGAAATATATATATATATATATATATATAATACATTTTAATCAAAGTAAATGGACTGGTCTAATATCAGTCGGTTATAATTAATGATATATTAGAACGGTCAATTTTTAATTTTTGCCTGACGATAGCTACGCGCATGAAATTCAGAGTTACCTCGGAAGTTCAGGAACAAATCCATATATTTCTTCGTATAAATGATAACTCAGTAATTCTATATAGGGCACATTTTTTATTATTAACACCAGCACTCACAGTGCACTATTTTATTGCCGCACAGACACACACACCCGCATACACCTGCATACAAACACACACACACACACACACACACACACATATATATATATATATATATATATATAGATATATATATATAGATATATATATAGGTGTGAGTATGCAGGTGTATGACTTTATTATATATATATATATATATATATGCATACACCTGCATACACACACATATATATATATATATATATATATATATATATATATATATATATATATATATATATATATATATATATATGCATGTGTATGTGATAACGATATATAACTTGTTATATATCAAGTGGAAAAGAAGTGTGAGAAAAGGTAGAAAAGGTTTTTTTGTGGCTCGTTTCGTCCTTTAGAACTTCACAGACTAAGTTTATGCTTAAGTTGATGCAACTGCACATGCGCACGAACGCTGCGAATTTTAAATATAAAAACACGAAAACATAAAGTTAGTCCAATGAATTCCTCAAGTACGAAACACGTCACACAAAATCTTTTCCACCTTGTCTCTCATCTTTCCTCTAAAATAGATAGATAGATAGATAGATAGATCTTTTTCCCAAATACGGCACTTATAAAATGTATTTGCATATGTGTGAAATGATTTTACAGTTACTGTTCATTATAAATCCATGGAGATATGCAGCTGCTAAAATATGCGAATATATTATTTACATACGTACACACACCTACAGATATCACAAACCAACATACATAAATACAGACATACATACATACACACGCACACACACACACACATGTATATATATATATATATATATATATATATATATATATAATTCCGTTATTATTTACTTTTCCAATGCAACATGACCCACTGCACATGTTAGTACTTCGTATGTCCATTCCATAACGTCGTTCCTTGCATATTGATCACAGATTCTCGAATAGTTTTAAATCAGATAAGTGTTCCAGCCAGTCTCTAGTGCTATGATTTGCTTACTGGTAAGGTTTGCCATTATGTTCGTGCAGCGTTACAATTTTCATAGGCTTCCTTGGAGTAACGTCCATCGCAAACAATAGCCGTGGGACAACTAATCAACAGTAGAGACAATAGTATCTAGGCGGGATGAAAATCTGATGCGATCACGGATTCTCAAGGTTAAACAAATTTCATCATATACCCCGAAAATAGATTCATATTACTGCACACCACTGCAAATGACATAATCTGAGGAAAAAATAGAAACTGATTACACCTTGCGGGTCGAAAATTAACCGTATGGTGAAAGAAAGGAAACTAACGCAGTTGTTTCAATTAATTTGAACAAGGGTGTATATACCCATATATATATATATATATATATATATATATATATATATATATATATATATATATATATATAAAACACAAATAAATTTAAATATATAAGTTTAAAAATTCAGCGTCCCCTCTCCTTCATACGCATATGTAGTTACATCAATGGAAACATCCTTTTAGACCGAGGAAGTCATAGGGTAGTGAGGTGTCACACTTCGACTTTGTCATTCATTTTCCTAATATGTATTACATATAAATACTGATATTGATATATTGATAAAAACTATTTACATATAACATATGTTAAAATGTTGTACATATAACATATATTAAAATGTTTTACATATAACATATATTGAAATAGATAAAGAAGTATTCTGCCTGGGGCAAGAACGTATATTTATACACACATATATTTGATTTAAATTTCGATTAAAATATTCTGGTTTGTAAATAGATAAGATAATTTCAAAATTCTAATGTTAGTGTTCATGTCTCTTTTTAGAATTCTAACAATCCGGTTCTTTCCAAAAATATTCAACCCCAAAAATACTGAATAATTCTACAATAGAGATGACCCCTGACAAACATGCCCGCACAATATTAAATTATCCGATCTAATAAAATAACTAAAAGGATTCGAACGTATAAATGAATTCGCAAATTCGTAAACAAGTAAAATATTAATTCTTCTTGAGTGTCTCTTCATTCGAACTAATTCTTATTCTTAAATGTGCTGCGTTTCTTCAGAATATGGGCAGTCATAGCTCTCCAAAATTTCCTGTCCCTTGTTGCCTTTAGCAGTTCTTCTGACTTTGCCAAGCCTTCTGTCCCCCTGTTCCGATATTTGGTCACACAGGCTCGTCAGAAGTGGCTAGTCGTACTTCCTCTATTTAGATATCTAAAATATATCTTAATCTAAAATCTCCTATCACTTGTTAACTTTAGCACTTCTCTCTTTTCCAAGCCTTCCGTCCCACTGTTTCGATATCTGTTCACACAGCCTCGTCAGATGCAGCTAGTGCCACTTCCTCTATCTAGATATATAAAATATATCCATATCTAAAATTTCCTATCCGTTACTGACAAAACCTAGCTAGACTGTCACACTTTTAGCTCTATTTCCATAGCAAATTTTCAGACGAGCTACATTCCGTAGTTTCACAAGTCCAGCCTTTCACAGCTTGGACCCACCAAAACAC